CCGTTATACGCGATCTGGCGCTGCTATAGCGGTCGCTAAGAACAACGGCGAACAAAAACAGAAATAATTTTCTCTTGTCAAAGTCAGAATCTTCAAAAATCATAATAATCTTTCAAAATCTAAACCGCTCTCATTAAAGAAATTCCGAAAAGTGTTTATAGCGTCCATTTACAAAGTAATAATTGCTATCTTGTGAGTTTAATTCAAGTTTTATTTACTCCAACCGATGATAATTGTGAAAAAGTGGCATTAAAAACTTAAAAAGCTGTGCCGTGAACTGTGAACTGCAAAAACCATCGTGGATCGTGGCATAACGTCGGTTTCCAATGTTTCATAGGAATTTCATACATGCGTCCTTATATAAAATAAAGTTTCTTGTATGCAACACACTGTCTTTTATTTATAAAATTAAATGAAAATAATTTTGAATAAACAATATTTGGCGATATAATTCCGGAAAAGCCGAACCGCTCCGAAATTTTCAAAAGTTTTGGGTCGCGACCGTTGCAAAAATAGCGCCAAATAGTGTTTACATTGTCCTTATGGGCACTTTCCAATCTAAACTTGTTTCATTTATATATGTATATTTATTAATGATACAAGTTCCATACGAACATCATAATCAAACGCGTGTAACGTTTGCAGCCCCAATTTGCAGCCAGGAACCATCGCATTTCATCGCATTTTTTTTCCATCTCCTGGGTTGCACACGGTGCCTCGTTGCATCGTTTGCTTCCTGGTTTTTTGTGTTTTGGGATCGGTTTCTTCGCTTCCTGATTCCTTACCGTACTGATGAAGCCTGAAGGCAGTTACATCAGTGTGCACTAGTGTAGGTGTGGTTGTGTGAGTGCGTGAGTGTGCGTGTCTGCACTGGTGTGCACTGGTGTATACGGTTACGAGTTGTTGAGGGCTGAGCCGTTTAATCTTTTTTCTTCTTTTTTATACATTTCCCTCACTATTTCTTTCTTTTTCAGATAGAGAATATAACTACTTAATATTACTACATCTTCTTCGGTTTTCTCTTACCAACAAAAGATATGAAAAAAAAAAAGAAATTACACTAGGAATGTAGCTGAGTGTAATTGATATTTTCCTTTATTAGTTGGAAAAAAATAGTAAACGTAGGTATAACTTTGCGATTTCTGCGAATTTGACTTTTCAAGTGAAGAAAGATATGTCAAACTATATTTCAATACCGTTTCATATAGAGTTATTCCGTGGTTAAAAAGAATTTTTATAAATGTAAATTATAAACAAAAATCGTCTAAATTCGTCCTAATCGTAAAAATATGTAATTTCTATCCCTCTAGGTGGGGGGGATAGAAATTACATATTACAAACCCCAAATTACATATTACCCCCTTACTTCAGCATTTAATTAAAAACGATCTAAACGAAGATAGAAGGGTATTTAAACTTGTCTTTTGTGACATATTTAACCTAACATGTCTTATTTTTAGACTTTTTATGGGTTAAATATGAGACACATTTTTATGCACACTGACTTTTTTAGTGGTACTTTTGGTCTCGCTTTTGGTATACTTTTATTTTTGCAATAGTTTCGTTACGACAAAATGCATTTTATAGAAGAAGTACTTTTGTATTTAAATCGTTGTAACTAAGAAAAAAACTAAAAATTTTGAAAATGTCTTTGGCCAATTATACTATGAAATAATTAGATAGGTATGTTACGATTCCTTTGAATATCCTTATTTTTCACTTATATGGAAGTGAATAAAAATATTTTATTGAATCATTTAAATAAAATAAATCTTTTAATATTATAACCAAGACTTTAAAAAAAGTCACATTAGACCATATCTGAAAATATCACTTTACCTTTACATGATTCTGAAGTTATTTTATTAAAGTTATTCAGTATATTTCATTAAAAAATAATTAACGTACCAGAAACTAAATAAACAGGAAAGTAAAAAATTGCTGCGGCGGCGATCAACCCTTTTGTTTTACCCTAAAACTTTTGTCGCAGGGTTTTTGCGTTATATTTTGGTAAAAGGGATACGAATATATTCTGTGGTGGCACAAAAACTTTAGTGAGGTATTTGAGAGGGTTAGGTGCTTATTCCTATAGTCAAGTTGTACGGAAGTGGAACATTTAAAAGGGTTTGGATAATAATTAATTATTAAATTTCGTAGGTTTATTTCAACGGGCGTGTAATTATACACGTTGAGTAAGAGAAAATACCATATATGGTAGAAACATACTTTACGTGAGAATTTTTGAAGGTACATCTTTTTATTTTAATATACTTAATTCCAATTATTTTTTTGCCTGTTATACACGTTCTTAATCATTATATTTAATAATAAAAAAACTTCACTACACCATTCATAATTCAACACTCAAGATCAAGAAAAAATACGATTTAAAAGTATATTTCTAACAAATTTTAAATGGATTAGTTTAAGATGTATATACAGGGTGGTCCGAACTGTATTCCGAAAACTTCAGGAAACTTCTACAGGGTGTAGAAGTTTCATTTTATTTCGATTTTTTCCAAACAATTTCTGAAGTAACGTCAATATTTAGATGAAAATTGGTGTCTGGGAGTTTTTTGACATGAGAAATTTGATTTTGATGTCAATATGACTCCTATTTGTAGGGAGCTCCACCTACATGTGTTTTAACTGTTTTTAAAAGTAATAACCCCCCTACTGGGAGAAAAAATACACATTTCCGTGATTTTTACGGCAAAAATATCTCTTGGTAAAAATGGCTACGAGCAACCGTTCTCAAAATATTTAGAATGGAAAAAGTCAATACATGTCATTATTGACAAAAAATAAACAATGCCGAATATAGATAGTTATCTGACTAAAATGATAAATTTGGGAATTTATTTTTTTTAAATTAATCATAAATTTTTCTTTGAAAAAATTATGATAAAAAGTTTCTGTTGAACTTTTTGCCACAAAAACATTTTAAATTTATGGCCATCGCATGTTTAATTTCAGTCAATGACAACAGATATTGATAATTTCGATTCTAAATATCTGGAGAACCATTACTCGTAGCGATTTTTACCAAGAGATCTTATTTACGTAAAAAACCTCGTGAATGTTTATTTTTTCACTCAGTAGTTTTATACAGGTACGGACGAAAAGTTATTACTCTTCAAACCAGTTAAAAATATATAGGTGGCGCCCTCTACAAGTAGGAGTCATATTGAGATCACAATCCAAATTTCTCATGTCAAAAAACTCCCACACATCAATTTTCATCCAAATATTGACGTTACTTCAGAAATTACTTGGAAAAAATCGAAATAAAATGAAACTTCTACACCCTGTATCTCCGAAACTAAACATTTTGGGACATACATTTATACGAACTTTTTTATTTATTTTTATTTGCAGAATATGCTGCCGAAGTTTCCGGAATACAGTTCGGACCACCCTGTATATCCAAAAATATATATCTGTATTTCTGAGGTTATAGAGAGAGATATTTCGAGTTTGTGATGCATAAATTCCGGAAGTGCTTCACTGGCTCAAAATGAGACTACAGTTTTTTTCTTTAAGCTACAGTATTTTGTACTAATCTCTTATTCCGACTATACGTTGCTTATGTTATATGAATTTATATAGCTTTTAAATTTAAAAAATTGTGGGTATCCATATATTTTGAAAATTTACTGTTGACTTCCAGTATTTTTGGAAGTGCCGCTATACTGATAATTAATTTAGCCGTGAGATCTCATTGTGAGACAATTCAAATTAGATTTTGTTTCTAATATTTATCGAGGGGTAAACCGCAGAGGGAAAAGTGTACACCGTAATTCCTTTTACTCAAATAATTCCTCAGAATTCCTCGTAATTCCTTCGGAATTCCTTGGAATTCCTGGTCTTCAAGGTCAAGGTCAATCATTCAAGGTCTTCCTTGGAATTCCTTGGTACGAACTCGGTAACTCTTTCAGTCTGAACCAGCGTTGCCACCTCGGTTTCGCAGTTCCGCTATGAATTTTCTGGTGATTTTTATAAATGTCTAATGTCTCTATAAGTACTAGATCTAACAATAAAAAGTACTATTACAAGATTTACGTTTTTTTTAGTTAAATTTTAGGATTAATAAGGGATCATGAGGTAAAAATACTGGAAATATGTCGGCACTTACTTATTAAAATTAATTTTTCTCGGGATTTTTTGAAAATGATAGGTACCTAGTTATACTCGTATCTATAGGAAACGAAATTAATAAAACTTCAGTTGCACGTCATAATACGATCACCAGTAAATTCCATAAGATTACGCATGGTATCATTGATGAAGTGCACCTAAAGTTGTATTAATTTCCCTATAGTATATACCTAGGTATTATTCCGAGGAAATGAAAAAATCAACTTTACACTTTCTGAGTACTGAATGAAAAAATCTTATGAGGGTTTCTTTAAAATGGCGAAATCAGGGAACGTTATAAGTAGATCTCTCAGGGGTGGTTCGGCCGTACTATTGGAATATATTTTAGATATATAATCGAGGGTACAATATTAAATTAGAAGAATATCTAACCTGTAGATATTTGATATTGGGAAATTTTGGAAGCGAAAACGAAAAACGGATAGTAAAAAATCGCCTGCAAAACGTTTTTCTTTAAATTTAGTACTACCTATTATAGTATTCATGGTTTACTAATGTTCGTTAATTTTTTATAAAGTTGCTTGTAATTCCTCTTAATTCCTGTAGAATTCCTCTAAATTTCTAAGGAATTCCTTGGAATTCTTACGGAAATAATTGGAATTCCTAGTAATTCCTATGGAATTCCTTGGAATTCCTCGTAATTCCTTGGAATTCCTGTAGAATTCCTTCATAGTGTACACCATAATTCCTCTGCGGTTTACCCCTCGATATTTATTGAATATTTCCTTTATCGAGAACCGGATATATGCATATGAAACAATAATTTATTTCTTTTCATGTTGTTTAATTGCTACATACATCTTCCCTAAAACATACTCATCTTATTTTCTTTTTCTTTACAGGTCGGGAAGTCTTGGCTCATCGCCGAGGCCATTCTTAAAGCCCCAAAACAATCCATCCGATGAACACATGAACAGCGACGTAGAGAGCTTGGAAGATGCCAGGAAGCTGGTGCGAGATTTGAGGGCGAAAACACGGCAACAGGCCCAACAGATCATGGCCTGGAGGAGGGCCTACAAAATGCAGGTTGGTACTTCACGTTTTACGAACTAAATGATAAAGTAATGATAAAAAATTAGTGGGTTATTTACGTTGTATTATGATCGAAAGTACAAGGCGTCAATCTTATCGATCGCTATTTTCCAAACTTAAACTACTGTAAGCTGCTGACTGCAACTATTTAATTGAAGCGGATATAGGCCAAGCTACTACTTTTAATGCGATGGCTGAAATTATTAGTAGTGATGAGCGAGACTGATCTTGTACAAGAAGCAAGACTAGCGTTAGATCGGCGAGACTAAAACCAATACCGACCTGTGCAGACTAAGAAAAAATTCAACTACACGTTCATGTTTTCTTTAATTTTCTCTAAAACGGTATGGTTGAAAAGTATAAACGGGATTAACCATTTTAGAACAAGCAAAAATTTTTTATGAGGAATGCATTTTTCTCAAAATATCAATAATAAAAAAGTGTTTTCTCTTATAAAGACAATTCGGGGACATACTGTATAATTTTCAACAATTTTTGGAAAAAAATCATGCGCGTTTTTCTGGTGGCGAACTATACCACTAGCTAAAATAATTGTACTTATTTAAGAGACACACTGTACAGGGTGACTCCTCTCATACGACGTGAAGGCTCCAAGGAGAACAACAGTTTCTATTGAAATGAAGTTTTGTGAGCATATGTAGGTTAATTTAAAGCAATTTTTAAAAATATAGTGAGTTCTACGGGTGTTCCCAAAAAAGTTACATATCAAAGTTGTGTTTTTTTTTGTAATGGAACACCATATATAAATTGATTTTAGGGTTCTAGGAGAAAAATAAAGGTGAGTTTTATTAGAGAAGCATATGACTAACATGTAAGTTTTTTAATATATTTAACATTTTCTGAAAATAAAGAACAATTTCAAAATTTCAATAGAAGCTACCTAAATTGGAATTTACCCGGTATAGCCTAATATGCAGTTAAAATAACTATTGTACATTAAATCAAATTACAACTTGACCCAGAAAGTTATACAGGGTGGGACAAAATTAATATTGAATATAACATTGGTCACCTTTAAAAGCAAGTTACTCTTTTATTTTAAATGGAACATCCAGTATATTATTTCAATTATCAATGAGGAATTCATGTCTCTAACCATGTTAGCATCATCAGCAGATGATTATAAACTACTTTTAAACTTTTGAGTTTATAATCATCTGCTGATGATGCTAACATGGTTAGCGAAACGCGCGTCCAGTGTAAAAGTAAAAGTGTTTTGGTGTATTGTGGTGATCTAGTGTTTTATTTTGCTGTGTAACACCAAAGGTTCCAACCCTCAACTGTAATCATGTCTCTTCAAAATACTATGAAGGTTGCCTTCCCTACCCGTCAAACAAATATTTCCTAGATATTGTCATTTTTATGTTTGGTAAAATCTAGGTGGCTGTGATATGTGTGACGTTACTTCAACTTAGCTGTCTAATTAGTTCAACGATAACAACCAGTTATCATTTTGTGTCAGTAAAATACAAAAAAAAAATTGTCAGAAATTGGCGTAAAATGGAAACTTATCCTATATCAGAAAGAATTGATGTGATTCTTTTAGTTTCTATTTTAATTAATAGAATACCTTAATGCTCCTGATTTTATCTAGTTTGGGCTAATATATGTTAAAGACAATTTATGCAGTGAACAGTAAAGGAAGCATTTTGAGTTTTGATTTCATCTAGCTAATTTTTGTCGCATAATTATATGTTGATATCTAGTCTTAATTCTGTAATAATTAAAATATGTTTTAAACGTGTATCTTTTTATTACCATCGATTATTTTACTCTACATCCTTTAATTTTTGTTAAATTAACAAAAGGAATATCAGAGCCACCCCTAGTTTTTTTTTCAAATAATAAAGATCTACTATCTCGAAGTCATAAAAATTAAAATATCTAGGAAAATATTTGTCTGAGAGGTAGGCAACCTTAATAATATTTTGAAGATATATGAATTCCCTATTGAACACCGGAATAATATACTGGGCGTTCCATTTAAAGTAACGGAGTAACTTGCTTTTTAAGTGACCAATTTTCCATATTAATTTTGTCTCACCCTGTATAACTTTTCGGGTCAAATTTTAATTTGTTTTAACTTATGTTGTTTATTGTAATTAAATATCAGGCAATACAGGGTAAATTAAACTATAGGCACAAAATGTGAAATATGTCAAAATCCTTACATTTTAGGCATATGCTTATTTAATAAAACTCACCTTTATTTGTTTCCTACAATCCAAAAATCAATTAATCTATAGGACGTTCCATTACAAAAAACTTTTTTTATATAAATTATAATACGTTCTACGATATATAAATTACCGTTCTCCTTGGAGCCTCCGCGTCGTATGAGAGGCGCCACCCTGTATAGATAATAAATTAACTAACATAAAATGATATTATTAAGAAACTTTCATTGGATCGCCATTATTTCTTGAAATCTATATCGATTTACTGCAGATAATATGCCGATATAATTATTTCTACGAATCTATTTCTTTTCAGGAACTCTTTATAACGAGATTGCAACGAGAGAAATGCGACCAGCTGAAGGCCATCAGTTCCAAGCTCCTATTATTCGAATCCCGGCTTATAAGAAAACAGAAGGACATCGCCGCAATGTTAAATGCTAGAGAGAATATCATTTGTAAGCAGCAAAGGTAAGAGGTTAGATTAATACTCTACATAAACTAAACAAAGGTATTGCTAGTCTATTTCCTTCTATAGCCAACAAGAGCCAGTTGTACTAAAGTTGATATATTATTGACCCTTGACTTTTCCTGTCTTTACTATTTAGATGAGAACAGTGGCGGTTCCTCAATAAGTTCATATCTGTCGTGTAAAAGGAAAAACCCATCCCATCAATAACGTAAAATGTAAAAAAAATGCGTAAAGTCTCGTAACACAATTCTTCCACTATAAAAAGTTGTGAGATCTCATGTAAAACCAAGTCAGTTTATTTTATTGCGCCTCTCTTTAAGCATCTATTCAACAATTTTGTTATAAATTATTAGTATCAATATTAGACATCTTTATTTTCTTTAATAATTATAATGACTTGGCAACTGGACAGCACCATAATTATAAAAGAATAATCTACCATCTCGATTACTAAGTAAATTTAAACAGTGCCCTTAAAAATAACACGTGACCCACGTGTTGTGATGTAGGAAAGAGTGTACACATGAGATCTGGGACAGACGACACACGTGTGATAGCGTGAAATGGCATGGGGTGGCGTGTTGCCTAGTGTGTACGCAATACATGTAATTAAATCGAAAAGCATACGCACAGGTCTTCATGACGTGGGGTAGCATGGCGTGGCGTGTTGGCTAATGGGGTGCCGGCATAATTCATAAACTTTGAATTATCGTATAAAGTCAGATAATATCAAATAAGTTAATTCTAGTTTTCTAACGACTTGTGCTTCTGACTTTCGTTATACCCCAAATATCAACTTTAAAGGCAGGCGGCCACTGCAGCACTGCGAGCGAAACTAAACTAACCTAAGAATATATAAAGAAACGGCAACTAAACGAAAATAAGTTTCATCGACCACTGGGAACGATTTTTGTTTAGTAGTCAGCTAAGTAAGCTGCGTTGTCGTATTGTGTCTCTGCTATCATAGAATTAATCGCTGCGAAAAATTCGCTGGAACCTGTCACGAACTAAAACGAGCGAAACTAAACTACGATTTTAATCTTCGTTCATATATTTTCGTTTAGTTTCGCTCAAGTGGCTGCTGATGCATTTAAAAGTATGGGAGCTGATTTTTACAAATCTTATCTTCGCTTGGCTTAGTTTAGTTTTGCTCGCAGTGGCCGCCCGCGACCCGTTTTAAAAATGTTTAATTTATGATTTTACCATTGCTTATTCAAAATCATGTTTTGTCAATTTTACACATATTTTATTTTTTATCTCGAAAACTATAAGAGATAGGTATAGGTTTGTATAATAAAAAAAATTATGAGATTTGAGAGTAGTTTCCAAAAATGTAATAATATACTGGGTGTTCCGTTTAAAACAAAGATGCCTCTACCACTTTTCAAAGCTAGACAGTTAACTCTTGATCCATAAAGATATTTCGGAAATTTTCATTTTTTCCTTGCATTATAAGCTTAATGCTAACTAAAATTCAAAATCTGAAGTTTGTAACACATCTAGAAGTACCTTAAAATTTTGATGAAGGCGAGTGAGTCACTAGCGAAGTTAAAGAAGTTTGACTAGAAAAAATGCATAATCCTTGAATTATTGTTGGTTTGGAGACCGCTTCGATTAATTCTAGTTTTTCGCCGTTGTCCCGACTGGAAAGTCAGTTACCCGTAGCGGCTAGACAGCTAACTTTTAATCCATAAGGATATTTCAAGATTTTTCATTTTTTGCTCCCATTATAAGCGTAAAGCTACCTAAAATTCAAAATTTGAAGTTTGTGACACATCTAGAAGTACCTTAGAATTTTGATGATCTGCCAGTGAGTCAATGTCGAAACAAAAGAAATTTGACAAGTGATACTTCAAAAACTATGAGGCATAATTAATTACTAGATATTTTGATAACCTAGCCAGCTATAGGATGTCTTATGTGTAGTGAAAATTAATATTCTTGCTTTATCCACAACAAAATTACAGGGTGGTCAAAAGGGCCGCTAATACCTTCGAGAAAAGGATGGTTCGGCTGTGCTCGACTTGGCAGGGGTACTGCCGTGCCCCCTGATTATCTGATGCATACATGATCCGGCTGCAGGATTATTACGCTCATCATATTTTCAATCAAAACCTAATTTTACGCATATTTATGAATAGCGGAATACACTTTTAAGAGGGTGCGAATCAAAAAGTTGTCGCAAATAGGGATTGCCACGGTTCAAAATTTTGTTCTACTACTTTATACGGATCCGGCAACAATGCGTCGGTCATCTGTAGCCCCTATAATAAAAAAACTTAGGAATTTTGGATAAGTGCAAACCTAAAGTATGTGTTACGACGTATATCAGGGAAATATTTTAACTTCTACAGGGTGGCTCAAAAAAGTGTGAGTAGATCGGGATGATTTTTTTTAATGGAACGCCCTGTATATTATTGCGTTTTTGGCTTCCTTTCTGATTACTTCACATAATCCTAAGATATTATGAAATACATTTTGATAGTTTCAGAAATATTAATATATAAATAAAAAAAATATTTTTTCAGTCTTTTCTAAAAAATATATTAAAAATACAAGAATTGTCCTGAAATCGAAACTATACTAGATATTTATTATAGTTTAAATAAAAAATAATATATAAATAAAAAAAATATTTTTTCAGTCTTTTCTAAAAAATATATTAAAAATACAAGAATTGTCCTGAAATCGAAACTATACTAGATATTTATTATAGTTGGTCTGTACTTACTTTGCTGTAAATATCGTAATCTTAAACCAAACAGGGTGTTCATAATTCTATGCCAAACTTTCTAAAATATAAAATTGTTTTTCTTTGTTTCCTTATGGAATCCCTAAAAATTCTAAAATGCTTTAAATACCAAAAAATGTTCATTTTTTATTTCTCCGTCTAACAAAGAAATAATAACAGAAAATATGCTTTTTAATTTTTTCCATAAAATATACAGGGTGTCCCAGAAATAAGTGCAAGTATTTTAACTGGTAGTATAGGTCAACCCCAGAAACACGCCTATGAGGTTTTTTTCGCGAAAAAAAATTTTGAAAATTCAAAATTTTCTGGACTTTTTTAGTTTTTAGTTAAAAATCATAATTTCTTGATAATATGGCAACATAGGTATTAGATTAAATTTACAAGAGAGAAAATCCAGAAAAGATCCAGTGGTTCTCAAAATTTTAGGAAAAAATCATTTTTTTGGCAATTTTCAAAGTAAAATAACTCCGTTTTTTTTAAATAACTTTGTTATTTTGGACTTATTTGAAAAACGATAAAGAGAAAATATGTTTCTTTTATCGAGATCTACCACCCCTTAAAATACTTGCACTTATTTCTGGGACACCCTGTATATTTTAATCGCTATAAACAATTAAATAATATTTATAACTTTATTATTTTACTACCTGTCCTACATAGTCAATCATTAAGATTTCCTTTATTATAAATTACACGGTTTCGGTTTCAATGTGCCTTGGACAAAAATTCTAATTTTCAAAACGCATGAATTCACACAAGTATCTGTAACGGCTCTAAATTCCAGTTTAAAATGAAACTACAGGAAATAGTTGTATTTCTAGATTCTTGTTTAACAACTATAACATCTACATACGCCTACGTCTATTTTTTATGTTGTTTAATTGCTTTCTGGTTTAAGTTTTTATCACTGTGAGTGAAATATAGGTATTTATTTGTAATTTGTAGCATAGGCATTGCAAATAATGATTGTCTATAGTTGAAATATTTTAGACGAACGTTTTATCCTACAGGGTGGTCCGTACTGTATTCCGGAAACTTGGGCAGCATATTCTGGAGATAAAAATAATTAAAAAAGTTCGTATAAATGTATGTCCTAAAATGCTTAGTTTCGAGATACAGGAAGCAGAAGTTTCTTTTTTATTTCGATTTTTTCCAAATAATTTCTGAAGTAACGTCAATATTTGGATGAAAATAGGTGTCCGGGAGTTCTTTGACATGAGAAATTTGATTTTGATGTCAATATGACTGCCATTTGTAGGGGACGCCACCTACATGTGTTTTAACTGGTATGAAGAGTAATAACTTTTCGGTTGTTCCTGTATAAAACTACCAAGTGAAAAAATATACATTTCCGTGATTTTCTACGTAAAAAATGTCTCTTGGTAAAAATCGCTACGAGCAACCGTTCTCAAGATATTTAGAAGAATGGGAACAGTCAATACATATCATTATTAATTAATGTATTTAATACAAAAATATTTGCACTCTTATTTAAGACTCACCCTGTATATTTTTGAAGAAGTAAATCCGCCGAACAATCGTAGACATTACTCCTTCTATAGTTTTTAAATAACAAGGATTATATTATTTATCATGTCAAATACGATTTTATCAAATCTTATACGCGTCTGAGAAACAAAATCTTCTTTGCAAAATAAAATTACCCAACGCCAAATATGTACCCAACAACAACCAATAAGGAGAAATTTCAAGATCCAAAATAGCTGACCAAATTTGGCTATATCAGCGTATGATACACGGGTTGTTCAAGTTTACAGCCATGTGCAATAAAACTTATAGATGTAAGTAAAAATTTAATGAAGCGATTATGAAGCAGCACAGCTAATTTATTTTTAGTCGACTTACTTTCAATTGTTCTCTATATAATGTCGTTATTATTCAATATACATTGTGAGTTTTTAAAGAGTTACAATTATCGAAAGAGTTGCAAAATTAATTTAATTTTTTTTTTTTTGATATTTTTGCTGTCGTCGGACGAAGGGTGGCAGATATTACAATATACTATTAATTCCAAGTTATTTTCAGATAGAAATGATTGTACAGGGTGGCGCATCTCATACGACCCTGAGGCTCCAAGGCACTGTCTCCAACTTAGCGGTTTTCCCGCTAGATCTAGCGGTTTTTTTCAGTTTAGCGGAAACAAAATTAATTTAGCGGCTAGCGGTTTTTTAGCGGTTTAGATTTTTGAATGATAAATGTGCAAAACTGATACAAAAATTATTACAT